ATAAAACTAAGGAACCAATTCTCTGATAAAATAGAAATCTCATGGTAATGGTATTTTGCGGGTCTATCTACGTATGACTTGGTTATACAATTTTTTAATGAGCTATGTGTTTGCTGTGCGATTAGGCGTTTTACACATAAAACCTAACCTACAAAACCAACAAACGTCAAATAACAATTTTATCATAAGTGCAATTTTCTGAGGTGTCCTTGTTAACGCATACGTGAAGTTAGGTTTCATGTGCAAAACGCTTGATCGCCACACAAATACTTAGCTTTTAGTCAGTTTGTTACCACCAACTCATACGAAGATAGACCCGTAACATAGCATTACTATAACATTTCTATTTTATCCGAGAATTAGTCCATCAGATTTATGTGCATATTCATATACGCATATATACATAGATTTGTGCAGACATATAAATAAACATACAGTCACATAAACATACACACGTACACACAGGAGGTCCAAGGGTCCTCGTCCCATATGTATGTAAACTCATACACACTAGTAACACCAACAAATTATATTTATTCTTTTTAACTATATTAATGAAGGTATGCATTAAAATTACTTTTTATATTTTACGTACATCAATATATTTGCTCATACGGTTCTCACACGTAAAATGACTTATTATTATGGACTACACACCTACGTATCTTTTAGTAGATCTAAGTTTACACTTTTTAGTTATGCCAAAAACTATCTGACAAATATGCCTCTGCTCGAATTTTTTATCCGGTTGTCGGTATGTAGTAAGCCCAGCCGACAAGGGGATGAAATAAGGTGTACAATGAAAAACCATCGGGTAATTACCCTTAAAAGGTTCGGAGATTAAACGCAGTTAGACTCGTAATGTCCATAACATGTACGACTTATTTTGTTGTACTGAGCGTTTGCGCATATTTTTTTCTTTAATATTGCGAAAGGCAAGTCACAAAACGGATTCATTATTCTACCTGGTACGTAAAAATACCAAATGTTTTTATTTAATCTACATATGAAAACATATTCACAATAGGGTATAATACCTTGATTAATGTGAAGAAAATCATTTTAACTATTGTTCTTGTAAATGACTCGAATATAAATGAATAATAGTTTAATCATTTGGAATTTTATGTAAATTGATGTAATTGCTGATATATATATATATATATATATATATATATATATATATACTAGGGTGGTCCTTAATATAGACATTTTCGAATTTCCTTGTTTCCAAGGGCTCAAATGGTTCCAAATTGATAAAAAACTATTCTTTCAAAGTTTTAGCTCTTAATATTGTCTTTTAGATAAAGCGCAACTCAATCAAAGTTTTGTATGGAAATCTTGTAATTTTATAAACTTTGTAAAATATTTTTTAAAACTTGTTAGTTTTTAACTTGGAATTTTTAAAAGATTAAGTATAATTTAAAGTTTTTACACAATTTTTGTTATATTTTTTATTAACATATATAACACAAACATTTTCGAAAATTAAAGTAAAATATTAAGAAATGATTCTTTTTAATATTAAGTATTTTAGGATGAAAGCAATACCATTTGTCAAAATATGCGTGTATTATAAAACCTGATTTTTACTCCTCTCTGTGTGGATTTGCAAGTAATGAGTTCAGCTTTAACAGTAAACTTTATTCTAATGTAAGAACTAGCTGTAAGTGGAATTCTGTCTTGAGGCAATTAAGGCATCGTGCCTTAAGGCAAATTGCTGGAACTTCCCGTACCAAAAATTATTATTTTTTTAAAAACGATTAACATTTTTGAAAAAAAATTACTTTAAAAAAATAAGATTTTTGAGAAACTATAAATTGGACAAAAAATTACTTTTTTTTAAAATTATTTTTAATTTTTTTTTTGTTTTTTTTTTTGAAAAAATTTTTTTCTTTATTTTGACATATTGTGGAAGATCTGAACTTTTTTTCAAAGCAATCGTACTGCTTTAACTGCATAGGGACAAAATATAAAGCCCGTAAGCGCCGCGTCGCTGTCTAACGCATAAGCATTGGTACGGAACCCATAGGAATGTTAACAAAATGTATACTTATTGTTAAAATCTCTATAAAATATCTGATAATTTGATGTGCATATGTCTAATGATCATTTTTGACCGCCAAATGGCTCATTTTTTTACTTTTTCCTCCATATCTCCGAAACCGCTAGACCTACCTTCATGAAAATTTTATCGATTCTTCATCTTGTCAATACAAGTGAAATGTTTTTTGAGTTATTGAAATCGGACGCTCCGTTCTCTTAAAAACTGAGTTACCGTTTTCAGCACTTTTTGCCCCGTATCTTCGGAACGGCTAGACCTGCCTTCGCCAAAAACTAATCAGCACGTCTCCTTATCAATACGAATCGAATGTTTTTTGAATTATTCAAATCGGTTAATCCGTGTTCTCGAAATCGTCGACGAAAATTTGTATCCGCACATACATACACACACGTACATACATACACACACACATACACACACACACACACACACACATACATCCATTTTTTCTAAGGTATGCCAAAATGTTCAGAAACCTTTGAAACGTAAAGATATATAAAAATTTTCATTTTCGATTTTTTTGCGATTACTATAACTTGCCCTGCGGGAAGTTAATAATTATAATCATAAAATTCACATTAATTTTCAAATTCTATCCAGTAATTGTATTGTTCAATTCAGGCGTACAAATAAAAATAAAATTTTAAATTTCCCAGTACGATTCGTAAATTAATAAAAAGGTTGTTCCATCAATAGTTCACGAAGTACGTTAGAATTTGGTAGAGATGTTGCACATAAGATCATCACGCATCAATGTAGCTATAAAGAAATCACGTACAGGATAATTGAAATATTTTTCTGCTGCCCTAAATCCCAAAGTATGAAGCCAAACAATGAAAATTCATTCGTCTGTGAAATGATTCTGAGGTTTAGCCTCTATTGTAGCGCGCCGAAATAATATCAAAGAGTCTTTGTGAAAAAATTTAACCTAGTTTAAAATTGGTTGAACATCCTCCAACAAAACCAGTAACAAAAACATTCATTCGTAAAATTATGGTTCTGACACATAATTGGGTGTAATTGACACATATTAATATCATTAAAATAGTATTATAATATGTGGAAATAGTTTGCTAATCTTCTAGTTTGCGGACAACGATTTAATATGATGCTAAGAAAATCTACATGAGTCATGTCAGACATATAAGTCTTATATTAAAGTCATACTTTCAATATGACATGATCGGTTTGTCATTGTAATTAGCATTTAGAAATGAACCTTCATTAGAGAAATGAAGTAATTACTGATTAATAAATTCTATATTTGTTCACACAGTGGATTGTGTTAAACAACGCCTAAAAAAATATTGTTTACGCAACTTCACTCATCATGTAATAATTGTGTTGGAAAAACTTCACGTAATTAAAATTAGCATACATTCATTGACTGCTTGTATTTTTTTTTACTTTCTCGCTGGCGATATAATCTCATTCTTTGAACAGCTGTGATATCTGTCTTGCTTAAAAAATAGTTTCCATTTTAATAACTTCAAAGATTTATAGAAACTACAAATAATATAGAAATAATTTATAATCAATAAACTTATGTTTAGTTCACGGAACAAATGTTTAATTTGTTTCATTATTTTCAAGAAACAGGGTAAAATATTATTTTGATTCAGGCATTTTTCATTAAATCAAGATTTGTACTACGATGTAACTTTAAAATGTTTATTTATCTATGCCGATGTCCTTGTTGATATCGGTACGCATACAACGTTGATGCCGGTACGCATACAACAACAGATCTCTTTTCACATATACGACGATTAATCACAATCGACCCGTATAGTAATGATATAATCGAGAGCGAATAACGAATCATTGGCCCTTGACCCAGCCGTAACGCACTTCCGTTGTGTTTGTACAGATTTACACTCTAGTCGCGTCTAAAGAAGTTTTACTCCAAAAATAAATAGCATATTTCAGAATAACATCTCAATACCATCTCAACGAATTTGTTATTAAATAATGCCGTTAGGCCGCATAAAAGCTGGAAAATGTGATAATTGCTTTATCCAAATTAAGCATTATTTGAATTTTTTTATCATATGAAATATATAGTAAGAAATAACACGGTAGAAATCGATATGCGAGGGGTTAGTGTCATTTTGCTTGAAATCAAGTGACACATGAAATTCTTCTGAAAATATTCAAGTTAATCAGACTTCTAAAAATATTCAAGCAAAATTTCAGAACTGGCAAATAATTATTAATTTTATAAAATAATTTTTAACCTTAAGAAGTATTTTTCGGTCAATTTTCGTCAATAAGACTATTAAAATATGACGAGATATACAATCAACCCCACAGTTCTTAAATTATTTGAATTGAACAATAAAAATTAACTAAGAAGTTAATTAAGAAGTATTTGTTTACCTGACATTTGCGCAATACTTTTTTCTATATATTTAGATACGTTTACAACTATCCACGTGTGTTAAGGATATCCAGTAAGTCTATTGGCTAAAAATGTACTATTTGACATATATAAATAAAATGCACAGTAGCATTTTTTTCTGCAAAATTCTAATCAACACAATTGATATATTTCATATAAATTCCTTCAACATTAAATTTCAACTGTGAGTTATTCAAAAGAAGATGCAGCTTGTCTTTATGAGAAATGTATGCATGTATCTACATAAGTGCATAAAAATTCATATATCTGCATGTAAGTTAATTTTGAATTTGGCGCGTGAACAAAGTCAAAATTAAAAAATATCTACTGCAATTTTTATAAAATCCGTCAGTAAAAATATAAAATCCGTCAATAATAATTAATTTACCACTTCAACCTGTTCGATGTAGTGATCTAACTTCAACCTAAATTTAATTGACTTATTTTTCTTTTAAAATAGTAAATTCAAATTTGGTGCACAATTATCATGAATATAATATGCACGACCTTCATACGTAACTGATATCATTACGACACAATACTTCTTTTGGCAGTCGAGCAGCAGAGTGATTATTATTAATTTGTGCCTTGATACAGTAACAGTTACAATATTTGTGTAATATTTTGTGTGTGTGATATATAGAAAATGCTGAATGGTAAGTTGATAGTATAGTACTTAATATTAAATAGTTTTATCGGGGTTTTTAAAATGAATAACTCATATGTGCATTATGAAAACAACAACCGAATAAAATGTTCTTACTGTCAATTTCAAGGGGAAGGGCATGCATTGACAAAAATTACAGCCGCTCTTGCATCTACAAACATTGGAAAAAATATAAATTACCATATATTGCAATATTATATGCAATTCTTTCGTTAATTCTAATTATTATAAGACATTATTCGAGTTATAAATAATTAATAAATTATTATGTTATGTAATCGAATATTGGTTGGCAAATAAATATGGCGGCGAATAAATATCACCTATTGTTTGGCATTATCGACATATTTAAATGAGCGTGTTTTCAATTATAACTTATCGTAAGTTAAATTTTAAATTGCGTTCACCTGTTATTAAAATATATTTTAATTTTTAATGATTTTTTTTTAAATAGTCATAAAATATGCTTTAATATATTAAGCTAAGGTGTATTATGTAAAAATTGCTGGAACTTCCCAAAAATTAAATTTTTTAAAATGATTTTTATTTTAAACTTTGAAAAATTTTTATTTTTAATTTTAAAAAATGAATTTTTGGAAAATTTTTTTTTATTCTGAAATATTTTGGAAATTTTGAACTTTTTTTCAATGCAAACGCACTGCTCTAGCTGCATAGAAACGAAATATCGAAGCGCGTAAGCGCCGCGTCGCCGTCTAACGAACAAACGTTACGGAACCCATAGAAATGTGAACAAAATTCATACACATTATTAAAATCTCCATAAAATATCTGATAATTTGATGTGCATATGTCTGATGATTATTCGTGACCCCCAAATGGCTTCCTTTTTAACTTCCCGTAGGGTAAGTTATTGTAATGGGCCGAAAATCGGAATTGAAATTTTTTACATTTTTCGACGTTTTGAAGGTTTCTGAACATTTTGGCATACTTGAGAAAAAATGGATGTGTGTGTGTGTGTGTGTGTGTGTGTGTGTATGTATGTATGTATGGATACAAATTTTCGCCCACGTTTTCGGGCGTACGGATCAACCGATTTGAATGGTTTAAAAAACATTCGATTCCTATTGATAAGGAGATGTGCTGATTCGTTTTTGGCAAATGCAGGTCCAGCAGTTACGGAGATACGGAGCAAAGAGTGCAGAATATAGAAATCGAGTTTTTGAGAGAACGGAGCATCCGATTTGAATGATCTAAAAAACATTCAATTAGTAATGATTGGGAGAAGGGGTTATTAATTTTTCGCAAAGGCAGGCCTAGCCATTTCGGAGATACAAAGCTAAATGTACAAAAAATGGCAGTTTTTGAGAGAACTAAGCGTCCGATTCAATTGATTCAAAGAACTTTCTGCTTGTCTTAACAAAATAATTGATTTTGGATTTCTTTTTTTTTTTTTTTTTTAATTTTTTGTATATCGAAAATAATTCAGATTTTATTTTTAATTCTGACTATAGTTCTAATATACTTTAAACAAATAATTTCAACTCTGCAATTCAGTTTATATAATTCTTATAAATATTAGACAATGTTACAATATTTATAATAATCTATTTGAAAACATTCAATATTCCTCGAACATTTTGTTACGGTAGGGGAAGTTCCAGCAATTTGCCTTAAGGCACGATGCCACCCACCCCACTAGTTTCACATTTTTTTACTAGATCAGACGCTCCGTTCTCTTAAAAACTGAGTTACCGTTTTTGGCACTTTTTGCCCTGTATCTTCGGAACGGCTAGACCTGGCTTTGCAAAAAACTAATCAGCACGTCTCCTTATCAATTCGAATAGAATGTTCTTAGAATTATTCAAATCGGTTCACCGGTGTTCCCGAAATCGTCGACGAAAAATTTGGATCTGCACACACACAAACACGCGCGCGCGCACACACACACATACATTCATTTTGGCATTCTAAAGTATGCCAAAATGTTCAGAATCCTTTGAAACGGAAAGATATATAAAAATTTTCATTTTCGATTTTTGTTGCGATTATTATATCATACCCTATGGGAAGTTAAAAATTCATCAAACAATGGTGAGACAACCGTTGGGTTGCCTTCAGAAAAATGACGTAGTTAGTAAACTCAGATCATTTTAATAACTTGTAGTAGGACCCTTAAGTTTTGATCGCTTTTCGAATAAATAAAAAGATATATATATATATATATATATATATATATATATATATATATAGTTACATATGTATATATATATATATGTAAATATTGTTTTTCATACGTGTTTCAATGCGTAAATTTTAAGCGTGCTGTCTTGTGTAGACAGTGTCGTGAGTTAGAATTCCCGCTCTGGATAACCTGATATCATGCAGTAGTGATATCAATTTTTACTAAAAATATAGCTGAGAAATATGTTCTCAATTGAAAATAATCCCATTTTGTGCACTGCGGTGTGAAATGGCAATGAGAAATTTGTCACACTATGCTTCCCTGAATCGAGTTGGAGTTTAACTCAGATCATGTACCTACCCTAGCGCAAAACTACCCTTTAATATTATTATGTATATATATATATACGAGTATATATATATATATATAATATTTTATCGGTCAGCCTATTATCAGGATAGTAAACTCTAATAATGACCCTGGCCATTTCTGCAAGAAAATATCATCATTATTACACTATTTAATTCCTTTTCGCACACCGAAAACATTCGAGCCGCCAGCAGATGCTCCATGGAATAAGGTACACAATAATAAAGGAGTCTTATTTTTTTGGCTTTTGTGAGCAAAAACGTAAACGGCAACTGAATAATACATATTCATTGACAAATTGGCATGCATTGTTGGCCTGGGACCTAATAGACTCACCAGAATAATAAGGTGCACTGGTAAAAAGGTCTATTAAATAGAGATTTGTCAAAATGTCAAAAAATGCTTTTAGGGATATTTTTTTTTAACTTTATCGGAAGAAAAAACAGTTTTATTTAGTTTGGAGTTTATTAAATTATATATGTATATTTTATACACATATATACTCTTATACTCATAATCCATAATCAATTTTGTAAATTGTGTGCATTTCTAAACATTTTTATGAAAAAAATTGTATTTAATGTATTGTTTAAACTTTTTTAACTTTTAAAGGAATAGTTTATTTTTGCCAAAAACATCATTTTTGTATCTTTATGTATTCTCGACGTTTCAAGTCCTTTCGAATCCTTTTATACCAAAATAGGAAAAAAAATATGCGTGTATATGAGCCAAAATTTGACTTTCGTCGACGTATTTTTAAAAACGATTGCACTGTTTTCATTAAAAATTCTGAACCAATTTTGAAAATACAAGAACTGTTTGAAAGATATTAGTTGGGAATCATGCTAATTAGTTTCTAATATAGATGGGCCGGACCATTTCTTTGTAATTGTTGTTTTGTTTTAATATTCTAATTAGACTTTCTAAGCAATTGGTATTCCTATAAATCATTCATAATTTAATTTATAGATTTCTTATTGGTTAAGTCAATTGCTGCACATCGGGTTGTTCATGCAACTACCTTAGGGCAAAATGCCACTTATACTTATTGTTAGTCTTTATTTATTTTTAATATTATTGCCATGGGAGTTAAATGAAAATTGAAAAAAAAGAATATTAACAATTATATATTCATGCTTCATGATATTAATTTACTTATAATCAGGTACATACAGAACAACTAGAATTTTCCTATGGATTGAAAATTAAAAAAACTGCTGCTTATGATGATGAACGTTCTCAAAGCTAATATATTAAAGTAGTTACTAATTTTTTTACACTTTTTATAAATAAATTAGTATTATGGTGTATGATTTAGCTACTGTGAATAGAACATCCAAAATAACAAATATCTTTGTAATTTATGCATACTACCTGTAAAATTATAACGCATATCAGGCGATTACATTTTACTCCCATTACTTTATTTTATTAAAAATATTTATTTTATTTAGTAATTTAATTTTTAGATTGTTCTTTATATTTTACCTATCTTACATAAACATAGCTGCAACTGCAATTCATTTTGTCTCAATATCATATTTATAAGCTTAAGCCAGCTGGTACTATTTAAGTATCTTAACCAGCAGGTAGTCCTTCGAGTGCTTCGCAAACCATTAAGCAAAGCGTTTGTACTGTTTTATCGTAACAACTTATCAAATTCTTGTTCAAATATCTGAATTGGTAAGAGTACAGTACATAAGACCTTATATTAGTTTTATCAAAACCCATTGTGAATTTTGTCACAGGAAGCCTTGGAGGTGTAACCGATTATTTGAAGTTGTGATTAAAATGAAGCATTTCATTTCTTTATGTTTCTGCGAATAGATATATTTGTAGATTTTTTTTACCTCTGTATTTTGTGGGAATAAACATACTATATTTGATTTGGTTTTGATTTAGAATGGAATATCTGTATATTTAGATTTAGGAGTTGATAGTCACGTTAGTTGTCTTTGCTATCGTCAAAATTTTAACTTTGGACAGACCTCACGTAAGTGATATGGAAGTGACATCAGAAAGTTTTACTTATGATAAAATAGCTATTTGATATTTGAGTCATTTAGAGATTAGGTTTTATGTGTGAAACGATCGGTCTAACGGCAAAGACAAAGACATAGCTTTTTGACAGTTTGTGACTCATACTCATACGATAATGGACCCGTAATATAACATTTTTATTTTATCTGAGAATTGCCCCCTTAATAATCCGACTCAAACTAAACATTGGGTTTATCGTGGTTTGGTAGTTAGAGCTATGTGCTTTCAATCAAAAGTTCCAGATCTGATACCCGCCTCGGACTGCCTGATGTCAAGCAGTATCGACATTGGTTTTTATTTGAAAATATAGATTATATTTTCTTTTAAATTTTGTTGTTATTCAAATAATATATTCATCAAAAAGGGATAGACAAAATGGTGACTTTGTTATCTATAATGATAAGTCATTAAGAAGTCATCACAACGAGCTTACATGA